ACCTTCCTATCACTCCGGCCGGCCACCGCGGACTGCAGAGCGGCTCGGCCACGCTACAGGGAAGGTGAGTACCAACTGCAGCCGCCTGAGCGCTCTTGACAGAGCGCTCAGGCGGCTGCAGAATTTAAAGGGCCGGCGTATAACACATAATTATACGCCGATAAATACGGTAATCAACATGAGCACCTACAGCAAAGTATAAGCTAACCATTGAATGTGGTAACAATTGAAAATGGATAAGGCAAACAATAACAATATGTAAATTACTGTTCAGAAATACGTACAAACACAATTGTCGTGAAGTATGTATTAGTAGAGATTTTATATTTGTTTTTTCCTGCTGGCATTTTTTTATAATTGATTAGAAAATGCTATCAGAATAAAAACTATATACAGGCAACATGCAATATGTATACACATGGTTTACTCATTAACCAAAATACAACACATACAGAGATATCGAAAGTGAATTTAGAGTGAATTTAAAAGTTTATATCAAAATATTAGAAAAATTCTCCAAGTCAGTTCCATTTTCATTTTGGCTATGTTGGTCTTACATTTGAAATTCTGTTTGAATTCACTTTGAATTCCCAGCATTTAAACCTTATAGCAACTAATTCATCAACAATGAACAGAGATACTACAACATTCTAAAATTACTTGCAAATTTGAAAACTAACTTAAATAAGAAAAACAGTGCTCAAGAAAAATTACTAAAAAGCAGGTCTGTCCAATGTGTAAACAGATTGTGAAATTATAACATCTTTATCATCATTATTTTCAGAACATGTTATTTACAGTAGATGTTTAGAAGTAAGATTGTATGTATTTTCTTCAAAGAAAAATGCTAGTTTACATATGATTTAATTGCGCAAGGGAAACTATAGTAACCATGTGGAGTGGTCTGGGTGCAGTGTCACTGTCACTGTCCCACTTAGTCCTGCAATGTATAATAAACTGAAGAATAGTGTACCTATAGATTGGGAGAAAGTAGCACGTGCCTAAACTTCCTAATAAAAAGTTGAAGATATGAAGTACACATAAAAAGACCAGAAGGTCAAAAAACAAAAAAATAATTTATTGAATATCAATGGCATCAAAAAGATTAAATAGTAACAATGGATACAACAAGAAAATTGTAACGCTAAAAACAAAAAAAGATACAAAGTAGTTAGCTAGAATCAATTCTGATGTCTTGAGTGATACAAACAAGATCAGCCACAGCACACGTCTGTGCTGTTTGTGAAAGACATATGGGTGCTAATGGTGTATTAATAGAAGAATGATAGAATATAATGTATGGTAGGACATTCATAATAATAGAGCCTGCAAATGTGAACCACGTATATATTGTGTCCACTAACGAAGATATTTGTGTATAAATATATGTATAATAGTGGTGGAATCAGGTATATACAAAGGTATATTGATGGTAGATCTCTATAGGAGATTAGGAACTAATGGTGAAATCCACATGTATGTAATATGCACTATCGGCAATCTTAATGATATTAGATAGAGAAAGTAGTAATAATAGGATCAGATATAGACAAGAGTGTCAATAGATCTATATCATTAGAGATAGAGACTCTGGAGGGCGTGCTAAATTCCTAATAGCAATGATAACTAAAAATATATCCCTAAGAATTTTGTTAGATCAAAAAATCTAACTGAAATGACTGATTACAGTCATTTCAATCGACTGAAATGACTGATCGTTGCCTGTTAAATGATTAGCTGAAATGGCTGGATGAATAGATGTATGCTAATCGATTCTAATGACTGATCGATAGATATTAGGTAATCAACTGCAATGACTGATTTGCAATTGATCAATGCAAATAAACAAAATGAATATATAAATAAAACTAGTAAATGAATAATGTAAGAGGATAAGTACTATGTACTACTATACTAAAAGCACGCTATAGATCTACAACTATTACTACAAAGGTGGTGGTGACCGATGAACATCCTAGGCTATCTACACAATAGACAGAGACAGGTAAAAAGGTGGGCTAACCCTCCACCTATCCATCCACCCCTGTGCCTTCGAGGGCACCTATGTCTAACCCGGCTGAGAGAAAAATCATTCACAGAAAGACTATCAGAAAATAACATACTATGATAAAGAAACGGCATGTATAAAGCCCTAAAGCCCCTGAGGCGCGCGTTTCGCCCACTTAGCTCGTCTTGCAGGATTAAGACTGCCTCTAGTGGCTGTCAATCAGACAGCCACTAGAGGCACTTCCTGTAAGTTAATGGACTCCAGTCATGAGGACATGCAGTGTCATTGAAATCCAGAAAGGGACATCAGTGCTGAAATCAGGTAAGTGCCAGGGGAAGTGAGGGGGAAGGGGGGACAGAGTGTACTTCAGTGTTAGGTATACAACTTTGTATTTCTAACACTATAGAACCCTTTTAACAGTTTACACAATTCTAATTACTTATTTGTACAATCATTTGGACAAGGACTCGCTTTAAGACATATCTGTATTTTTTATGAATCGTTATTTGCACTTTATCATAATAACACTATAGATAAAAAAGAGCATTCACTTTATTCTATTTATCTTTCAATGCTGCAGGGTGCTGGTGTAATGTCAGTATATCTCTTCACCAAACGTTACGCTGAAGAAGAGATGTATCGTCCTCACCCTGCCTTCTACCGTCCACGACTTAGCGACTGCTCAGACTACTCAGGTCAGTTCCTGCACCCGGAAGTATGGCACCGTGGTCGAAGCCCTTCTGACATCTCCAGCGATGTGTCAATTCAGATGACTCAGAACTATCCTCCAGCTATCAAGTATCCAGACCACATACACATTTCTACTTCACCTTGCTAAAGGTGGGGCCTGTTTCAAACTGTTTGGAAGTTGCTAAGCATCGTCCTAGGTTAAAATTCACAATTTGACCTGTTTCATCAGATACAGCATATTGTGGATCCTAAAATGTAAACTATTGCTTCCAAGAGTCCGGAACGTTATAGCTCCTCTTTCTTTTAATCCATTTTTTTAGTTATGCTATACTTTTTACTGACAGTCAGAACTCTTGTTTAATTCTACTGAATTTATTTTAAACCTTATACATGACTGGATGTCATCTCTATTTCACTCTTTACAAAATCTGGCTGCATTTATAGCTTTTATTACACTAAGAAGCTAAGGTATTAATTTTCAGAAGGGATAGCTATATCTTGCCAATCTAGGAATTGTTTCTTAATTCTATCAAGAAACCTGTGAATTGCAACAAACATTTTTTTTCTTCATGAATTACAATGAACACATTCAGAATTCTCCTTTGTTCCTGAGCAAGCTTTATATGAAGGAAACCTCATCAGGCTCAATTCAAAGAAAAGCCAACTCAAAGATAATCAGTTAAAAAGGAAATTCAAAGACCACAATTCAAGGAGGACAGCATAGCTTCATATAAAATGATGACTTTGTAAAAAGATACTAAAAAAATAAGCTATTCCATGCTGAACCTTGAACATTCGAAAACTTTTCTCTGCCTTTCAGGAAAAAGTGACAGATTCAGCCACTGTTAACATCTTATGCTTTCCAAAAATGACGAGAGAATTTTCTGGGATGATATAATATAACAGTGAAATATATCCTGTTTCATGTCCTCTGGAGAAAATGGAAAATTATGTTGAAGGACTACCCATTTATTTCCATCTGACTTCCATTTAATTTTTAATATTTTTATTTTCTAATTTAATTTCCTATCATGTTTCTCAGGCAGGAATACCTATATCTACATCTTGGCACACAAATTTAATAGTCTTCCTTATCTTTGTACATATATGTAATTGTATGCCACACATCCAGAAGTCTATGCACCTTCAGTTTACCTCCTTCCCTTGAAATCACATACAGATAGACCACAAAACCTAGTGAAAAATGGCTAGCTTGTAGTGATGTAAAAGAAAAATATAGTTTTATATTCTATAAGAGACTATTCTATGCTACCCAATAAGTATAATTATGAATGGTAAGAAAATTTGGCTCATCCAAAAATTTCCCCCAAAACAGAATATTTTTTTTTTTTGTTTTCAAATTTTTGGCAGAATTTAAGTAACGAAGATCTTATTCAGGAAATGGGCCAATCAGTGTACTGCAAAATATATAACTGTATTTCAAAAATATTATACAATTTTATTTGGAGTTATCTGCCGAATGTGGAAAGTAAAACCCAATACTTTGGTTTGTTATTATATCGTGAAGGCTGCTAGTGTGTTTAAAGGGTTTAAATAAATCCCTTTTTTTTTCTCTGAGTGCACTTTTCTGCTAAAGTTAATTAAGTGATTGAATGATTACTTAATTTTCATCTCTGTGACTTTGTATGCACTTAAATACACAGTAGCAACTCACAGAGCTTCCACACTTTGATATTCTCTTTTAGTCTATCTTAGTATATACTTAAGCAGGAGTATGAACCCACAGGAGATAGAACAATACATAAGTTAGAACAGACTTTTCAATTCTGCAGTTGTTTTAGTGGGGCAAATATTAACGTTGGGCAAAATTGAAAATTTGACCTACAGTTTGATGTGTATATGCATGTCTGGTGCATACTTCTGTGGCAAATGTGAGTGAGTCACTTCTCTGGAAGCTCAGATTAGATTGATAACCCATAAAAGGACTTACTGCTCACTGAGCAGGTTTTAGTGGGGGCAGCTAGTAGAATGGGAGGAGATGAGCCAGTTGTGGACCAGGCAGGTAACTGGGTAAGAGTTATACATGGTAGCAAAGGAGTAGGATAGAGAAAGGGTGTAGCCAGTCCTGATTTTGTACACCCCAGCAGATTGGCCCTCTTGAGTGTATCAGCTCAGTAGTGGCTGATTTTGCGCTTGGATACATCCTTTACAGCAGTGATGGATTGCACCTGAATGGAAGATGGTCTTTTCTGCTGGGTGAGAGGATGGCTAGAAGGTTGGAGGAGGCTTTAAACTCAAGTATTGTGTGTGTGTGTGGGGGGGGGGGGGGGCAGGTAGAGGTGGCAAAAATGGTTAGATTAGCAGACAGAGCAATAATGTATTAAATACATGCTCTTCAAATAAAGTTTAATAAACAAATGGTAACTTTAAATATCTCCTTGCTAATGCAAGAGTCTTGTGTAAGAATATGGGGGAGCCTGAGCTATTGTTATACAATTAGCAGTATGACATATTTGGGATTACTGAGACTTGGTGGAATAGAACACTCAATTGTGCTATTCATTTAATTGGATATACATTAATTAGGAAGCTTAGAACAAAATAGAAAAGGGGACAGGGCATGTCTTTATATTAAACCCTCTTTGAAGCCAAGTGTTAAAGAACTTGTATATAATGATAAAGGTGAGCATGTAGAAACCTTATGGGTAGAAATATGCATAGGAGGAAACAGAGGGCATTCATTAATAGCAAGACTATGTTACAAGCCCCCAAACATTATTACTGAGATGGAGAAGGGTAATTATCCAGATATTGATTGGGCCAGAGGGACTAGGTTTTTTGAACCTGATAAATGACACTTTATATCTCAATAAGTACAAACACCAAATAAAATAGATGCTTCTCTGGATTTTCTTCAAGAAGAGAACTTGGGGAAACAGTGACCATAATATGGCATCATTTGAGATTAACCAAAACAAAAACTGTATGGACTTTACAAAAATACTTAAGTTTAAAAAAGGCTAATTTCAGTAGGATAAGGGCATCTTTACAGCAGATTGGCTGGACTGGCATGGAAGATCTTTAAACATGTTATACAAAACTAAAATTTTCAATACATACCTTTGTGAAACAAATATAAAAATCACATTAATACCAATGTGGCTTCATATTTGAATTAGTCAAATAACAAACAACAAGAAAAGGGAATTTAAAACATTTAAATTGGAGGGGTCATTAGCATCCTATGACAAATATACGAATGCCAATAATGCTTGCAACAGGGCAGTTAAATGCGTTTAAACTGAAAATGAAAAGCCAAAAAGAGAAAGACCAACCCCCAAAAGATTGTGTAAGTTTATTAATGACAAAAAGGTAAAGAAAGAATGTGTTGGTCCATTGGAATCTCAGATCTGCTAATCAAGAAGGATTAGGATAAGGCAGAAATTCTAGATTATTTTATTTCTACAGTATATAGAGAAGAAGAATCTAAAGCTGTAGATAACAGCAAACAGGTGATTGGTTAACACAAGATAAAGTTCTACAGCAATTATGGTTAGTGTAAACAAAGCCCCAGAGCCAGATGATATTCACCCATGAGTGCTTAAGGAACTTAGTGTAGAAATATACATAACACTGTTTTTAATCTTTCAGGATACTTTTCATTCTAGAGGATTGGATTGGTCTGGTACCTATATTTAAAAAAGGGTTTAAAAGCTAAACCTGGAAACTATAGACCCATGAGCTTATCATTTGTGGTAGGGAAATTACTGTAAGGGCTGTTAAGGGATAATATTAAAAAATAATTTTAACAGCAATATCATTAGCAGGAATCAACATGGTTTTGTGAAACTTGTGAGACATGGTTCATGTCTATAGGCACCAAAAGACTGCAGTGGGATGATCTGTACACCAAAACTTCTTCATTAAGCTAAAATTGTTTTATTGACTATAATATCCCAGAGGGATGGGTTCTTTATAGTTAGAACAGTTAATATGTGGAATTCTCTACCTAAAGGGGTTATTTGATCAGACCTTTTTTTTAAAAAAGGCTTAGATGATTTTCTTTGCAAAAACAAAATATTAAAGGATATTATTGATATGAATGCAAACAGGTTGTTGATCCAAGGAGAAATGTGATTGCCTTTATTGAGTGAAGAAGGATTTTCTTTTTGCCTCTTTTGGGATCAACAGCATAAAATAGTGGGTTTCAAGGTAGAACTTGATGGACTTCAGTCTTTTTTCAACCTAGACTACTATGTATCTATATAACTATGTATATATTTTGCAGTACACTGATACAAGCATTTACACACCATTTGTCTTACAGATCAAAGGGGAAATGTAACCAAAAGAGATGGGCCAGAAAAAAACCCTCTATTTATAAATAATATTTTTAATAAATATATGATATATAATTTTTTTATTGCACTTCCTTTTTCCCCCTTTATTGCTCACTTCTCACTTGATCTGTGAGTTGATTTAATTCTTGATTCAATGACTGTCCCCTAGCAATCAATAATATTTTTCCATCAATCATCTATTTTTTTTAATGATGCCATGAGCAGATTCCAGATTCATGAACCAAAACACACATGCTAAGCCATTGCATGTTTCATTTTTGGATACATTTTAATTTGGAATTCAGCATTTCGACCGATCACCCAATTGGTCCAAATTCCGTGAATTGCAGTTTTGACCAAAATAAATCTCCAAGTCTACCAAAAGGGGTCATTCTAGAAAATGCACTATGAGGTATTATTAGATACTTATCAGACAGTTCAACACATTTTCATTATTTTAGGATTTTTTTTCTTTTATATTTCATTAATTCTTTAAAGCTGATGGTTCATGAGGTCTTGTTTCCTCTTCCAGCAAGAAATAATCAGGGGAAGCAAGAAGATATTTCTGAAACTTTGCAAAGTAAAATTTTTGGGAATACTCATAATTCAGCATCTTATTGTATCTAAACATTGATAACACAGTGAACATGAAACTTTATTTTTTAAAACCAGGGCAGCATTTAGACTAACAAACCTCAAAGAAGGTCCAATCAACTTCTTGAAGATGACATCAAACAACATATTGGCTATATACTTTCCATGTTGCACTATCTTCACAACACATTCTAAAGTGTTGGTTTAATAACTATAGCAAAACTTGTAGACTGAATTTATTGAATTCGTTGCTGTGATTTTCACAGGGACCCAGGAAGATCTGGCTTGCATTTGTTCATCCTATATCCTTTCATCCATGGAAGACATTTTGTTTCTGCCATGAGCAGACTATGATAGTGACTAAATAGCACTGAAATGTATGTAGATTGTTGATATATATCAATGCAATGCAAGAAATGTAACACAAGAAATAGTGATTAAATAATGAACTGTCCGGAAATCATTACCAGTGATAGATTAGGTAATAAAAATATACTGTATTGAAAACTTAAAGCTTAAGCTGATAAAGACTTCTGGATAGATCATTATTGATAAGATAATGTTCTCCTTACTAATTAAGGATATTATATTTTTGCAATAGTTTAGATTTCAGCTGTGCTTTCATATCATGTCATTTGTTAAATGATTTAAATGTGGGGATATTCAAAATATTGCCTACACAAAATGAGAAAAATTTGTATATTATGCGTTCTAACAGACCAAACAGATTGCATAGTTTTCATTGTAATGTAATGTTGACCCTATTATTAACCTTTTCATTTGTTTTACACTAATATTGTTTTGCTCTGCATTCCTTTTTTTTTTTTTTTAAATAAGGTGATGATAGGGCTAAAAATTCGAAATGAATTAAAGCCATTAACATTTAGATGCAAAGATTATATTAAAAAGGGCAAAGATGGATAGCTTTTGGCTATTAAGCAGTGGTGACTTAATTTTCTCGTATTTAGCTGGTCAAAAGTATGTCCATAGCAACTGTAGTGAAAATTAGACATCAATGATATTGAGAAATAGGTTGGTTTATTTTATGTGAATGAACACCTAATATAACAGTAGAAAACAATGAGCAGGGTGCAGAAATGAACACCTTTATTACAATTATCTTGCATGCCATTACTTACGAAACATCTCTGCCACCCATGTAATTATATGTGCAAACTTAGAATCAAGGTGTATGAATGTAATTGACTGAAGGGTTTACCATTCATTGCCAGAGGAGAGAATGATGCAATTGTGACCCTCTCTGGCACTGAAAGTGTAAATTGCTGCGACTGGTGCCTTTACAAATTAAACCAGTTAGATATTTTACATTAATTGTATCTGTGAAAGTTACAAAATTATCAGAATTTTGTATTGCCATATTGAGATACTGTAGCATGTGTCTGCAATGACAGAAAGCCTGTCTCACACACACAAACACACACAAAATATGACTGTACATTTATTCTCAATCTTGGAACATCTAATAAAGACAATTTCTGTACTTTTATCCTAAGGCGACAAGACTCTGGTTTGGTACGCCTGGTGCATATGAAACAGTCTTTTCTCAGTAAAAGCAATCTGATTCTCTTTTACTTAATAAACAAACACCATTCTTTACCAAGTGTGTATGATTCTACATAGAATACTGCTGTCTTATAAAGCAAGGTTTGGGCTTGGAAAAAAACAAAACATTACTAAAAATATTTATATCACAAAAATAGTTTGCACTCACAGGTCTTGGTGAACATGGTTTAAATGGTGTTATATGTTAAAAAAACATGTGGATTGACAATTTAACCATTCAACCTGCATAGGTGAAAACATCAATCCACATGTTATTATAACACTCAATACCATTAACCCCACATTTGTTAACATGTGTGAGTACATGCTGTTTTTGTTATATATGTGCCTTGTGGTCAGCACCCAGGCAAGAATTTATTTTTGAACTGTTTCAGATAGCTAATTTTTACTTGAAAATCTAACACTGATGGTTACTGATGTATTAAAAAAATGATTGTCATTAATGAACACACTACTTATAAAAATTCTTTACACTTATGAGACCAATGTGTTGCATGTAAGGCTTTTATTTTTAAGTGGTATATATTTATTTTAGATTAAATCATGATCCTGCTTCTGAAAAAGCATGTCTTCAGATTTACAATAGCATGGTGTTAAATCCCATTACATTTTGGATTTTTATCATTGCTTGTAACTTTTGCCTTTATAACAAAAACAAAAATGTACCCCTGGAAGATTTTCCCACAAAATATGTATGCAAGATTATCAGTTTCTCCCATTGTTAACCTAACTTTACTTTTCGCATGGTGGATCACTTTGAAAAATTTATATGAAATAGAGTTCTATAGACGTCACAATGTGGAGTAAAGGCAAAAAAATATTTATTGGAGTTCAAAGACAAAAAAAAAAGATACGTTTCGGACTAGAGGCCTTAGTCATAGGCCAAAATGTTGTATCTTTTTTTTTTCCTTTTTGAACTCCATTAAATCTTTTTTTTTGCCTTCACCCTTCATTATGATGCCTGTGGAACTGTATTTCTTGTCGTTCCTGGTGGGCTGCGGACCCCCTCCACAGAGCTTCTATGTAAACTTACTTGTGTGCAGCACTCCTTTGACTTGATATGTTGGAACAATCTTCTTAAACACTTTTTTTTCTACAGATGAAAACTATTAAGTTTGACAAGCTTATGACTTTGCTTATAATAGATATTGCTAGCATGTATGGCAAGGTTTGGCTAGAGTAAAAAAAAAAAGGAAATAAAAAGTAGAAACATGTTTCAGATACTGGATCAGATCAGAAATTGTAGTAGAGAATCACTATGACTGAGCTAGAACAAGGACATACTTACTATATTGACTATGAATGCTTAAGGAGTTGAGATGTTGACACTTGTAACTTAATGTGCTGGAAACCGGTCATAATTGACAGTACTAGATGGCACGATGGCAGGATTTGGCTGTGAGTAATTACTAACAATAAAACATGACTTTTAAAACCTAGAAAAAAATGACAAAGACTAGCTAGAAGTATTATTTTTATTATTTTCTTATTTATATAGCGCCATCAGATTCCTTAGCGCTGTACAAAGGGTGGACTAACAGACATTTAATTGTAACCAGACAACAGGAACAGAGAGGTGGCGGGCCCTGCTCAATGAGCTTACATTCTAGAGGGAGTGGGATATAGTGACACAAAGGGTAAATGTAGGGTTACGAAGTAAGATGTAAGAAAAGTATTCGCTGAGGACTTAATAGGTAATTTTTGACAGTTGCAGGAGAGGAGTCATGGAGGGTGGGGGATGAAAACCAGCTAACAGTTTAATTGATATGCTTTCTTGAAGAAGGGAGTTTTCAATAATTTTTTGAATGAGTGGAGACTGGGTGAAATTCGTACAGAGGAGGGAAGGGAGTTCCACAGAAGAGGTGCAGCCCTAGAAAAGTCTTGGAGGCGAGTGTTAGAGGTGGGAGTACGGACAGAGGATAGACGTAGGTCTTTGGCAGAGCGTAGGGCCCTTGACAGGACATACTGGTGTATTAGGGAGGATAGGTAGGTTGGAGCAGCATTATGGGCGGAGAGAGATCAGGAGAGAACAGGTAGATTTGCGTGTCATCAGCATAGAAATGATAACGGAAGCCAGACGAGCTGATGAGTTTACCAAGGGAGGCAGTGTAGATAGAGAACAGTAGGATATCAAGGACAGAACCTTGGAGGACGCCGACAGAGAGTGGTTGGGGGGCAGAGGCAGAATCAGAGAAATAAACGCTGGGAGAGGTAGGAGGAGCACCAGGAGAGAGCATTATCCCGTAGACCAAAATTATGGAGAATGCGAAGAAGCTGTTGATGATCAACAGTGTCAAAGGCAGCAGAAAGATCAAAGAGAATTAGGATAGATTAATGGCCGCTAGATTTAGTAGCAATTAAATTGGTGGATACTTTGGTCACAGTATGATGAAGATACACAAACTGGGCTATCACTAAATACCTGATTGTTTGGATGGAGACAATCCAGTAAAAATGACAGACTTCTGACCAAAACGGCAATTCTCATATTTGCCAAAGTCAAATTCAATTGGAGTTTGGCCAGCCTAAGTGAATCTGAAGCAATCGCCTGGATGCATTCTATGTCCTGATAAAAAGTCAAACAGTGTAGCTTGGTACTACGTGTATCTCCACTAGACGATCAATGAATTAAGGAATATTTGCCAATTGTCCTGGTTTTGCCTGGACTGTATCATGTTTTAGATTCCTATTCTGACAAAATCGATCCCGTGTTCTGTCCCATATTCTGTGCCCCCTGTCCTGTTCCAACACACAGAAAGACATGCTTCGGAGAAAGAGTAGGGCAAAGAGAGGAGTCCCTCTACAGTAACATGAAAGAGACCAGCAAGAAGTGGACACAGGAAGGAGCACCAGGGTAAGTGCTCCTCCCGAGGCCAGTCATCTACCATGGAGGGCAAGCTGGCAATAGAGGGAGAGTCCAGGTAGCAAACATGCTCTACATGGCTGTGAATACCAGTACAGAAAGCAGGGACATGAAGTCATGTCTGTGTACACAGCACCCAGTGTGTCACAGAATTCTGATGGAGCATGCTGGCTCCCAGGACTCCAACTCCCATGCCACTCATCCACCAGTTAGAGGAGAGAATAGACAAAATGGCAGTCTATGCTCAATGAGACAAGGAGAAAGGGGGTATTTCTAAATACTGACAAAATTATAATTAAAAAAAGAGAAAAAGTCTGTTGTATCTCTGAAACAAGAATTGTGTATGATCAAAATTATGATTAGGGTGCAAAAGATGAAAACAAATTGATGGGAAAAAAAGACTGAAAGATCTAATAAATTGCTCCAAATATTCGCTGACAATAAGTAGTAAAAAAGTGCCACTGACTCTGTGATAAACCTCCCCCAAAGTGTTACTGGGAATTTTTTTGAAATGTTGACAGTATTGAAAGCTATTATATAAGAGTCAAATTGCTTGCATGAACTGCCACAAGGAAGCTAAACTCATTATAAACAAATTGAGACTTTTTAACCAACCAATAAGAACTCTGTTACTCATATTAAAAAGCATTATTAGTGGGTGCCGGCCTGGAAGGGACACTAGGTTTTCTCCCTGATATTATAATAGCTTCCACCCTCTGACCATGGGTCAGGGCACAGCCAGCAGGCAAATAGTACCATACTTAAAATTATTATTCACTTGCATGAAAGTAAGTGAATAATAATTTGCTAATGTGCATCCTGACAGAATCATTCGATCCTGAATTTTATTATTTGTGAATCTCCAGAAAACCTATACTTCGTACTCTGATTTTGTTTTGGACACTAAATGCACCCGGGTGATTGCCGCAGACTTGCTCGGGCCTACCAAATTCCAAACGCATTTGACGTTAGTAAATATGAGAATTTCCAATGCAGTTGAAATTCGATCATTTTTAATGGATCTTTCCATCTGGCCAAAATCCTGTGTTTTGCCAATAACCCAGTAAAACTTGTTATAAATCTTGAAAAATGTTTTGTAAACATTGTAGTATAGCCTGCAAAAATTCATTATAGTGAGCTTATTACGTTCAAAGCACTCCTCCACCCAAAAGCATACTGAGATGAGGGAGGAAGGCAGCATCATTTACAGCAGAGGGAACAAATAGAGCCAGTGTTAATTTTGTCAACTAACAATTTTAATAAAACTAAGATTTTTTAGATTTAGTCGACTAAAACTAGACTAAAACTAAAACAACTAAACTAAAACAATTCAGATGACTAATATACAACTAAAACTAAAATGTCATTTTAGTCAAAAGACTATGACTAAAACTAAATTGAAATTTGCCACCAAAAAATTAACACTGCGCAGAGGGGCAAAAGAGACTGCCCAGGGCTTAGGAGAGAGACACTTAGAGGGGCTTGTAGGACACAGAGACACAGAGAGGCTGAGAAAGAGGCTAAAGCGACAGATAGATGCTTTAACTAAACCCATTATATTTTAATCGTATTAACTAAAATCTACTGGAGATGACTAAACATAGAAAAAACTAAAACATTTCAGATAACTAAAATACGACTAAAACTTAAATGGCTTTTTAGTCAAAAGACTGTGACTAAAACTAACTTGAAATTTGCTGCCAAAATTAACACACTATAGAAATATGACCACAAAATTCCTTTATTTATGGTGAAAACCAGAGCCAAGGTAAAAGTAAAGGTAAGTAGGACTTTAACCCCTTAGTGACAGCTGATGTGTCAGGTACGTCCGACAAAAAACGGTCACTAAAGACCGCGGACGTACCTGATACATGATCGCTTCCAGCTGCTCTAATTGTATTGCAGCGATGCCTCGATGTTGAGGCATCGCTGCAATCCCCCTCACTGCCGGGGGCCACTGGAGAACAGCGGGTGATCGCTCCCCCACTTGGAGCCCGGCAGTGAGACAGAGCATCGGAATCTTCAGGCAGGCTTTCATGCTCTGCCTGTACTCAGTGCCTCAGGAACTCAGTAAATATAAAAAATAAATAAATACATTTTAAAAAAAAAACCCCTCCCTCCCTCTCCCTCCTCATGTACTTACCAATCGCCGGCGATTGGTCTTCTTCTTAGGGGGGACTCTCTAGACATAGCCCAGAGAGTCCCCCCTCTGCAAAAAAAGAACTGACAGGCAGTCCCCCTGCTGGTGAAAAAAGTTTTTTAAAAAGTTGAAAAAAGTAAACAAAACCTCATACTAAGTGTATCTTTTTATTAATATATATATATATATATATATATATATATATAAAAATTACACATGTGTATATATATATGTATATATATATATAACATATATAATAACTATATATATTATTTATATATTATGAAAAAATAAATAATTATAAAAAATTAAACTGTAAAAATAATAATAATAAAAAAAAATATATATATATACTTTATATGTAATGTTATTCTAACTGTATTTTTATGTTAATATATATATATATATGTATATCAAAATCCACTTAGAATGAAATATATATATATATATACATATATATATATATCTATGTATATACCCTTAACGATTTTTGCCATACT